TCATAAAACCTTGCAAAGCACAATACAATGCCACATTCTTCTTTACTCATAAACAGCCGTTTTGAACTCAACACACAAAATCTAGCCCTGCTAATCATGCCCCTATGAATAAGTAATGCTGTGAATTTCTCTTTGAACCGGAAAACCCTTAAATATGCACAAAGCCTTGGCTACCTTAACGGTCTTTTTTTTATATTGAACCATGTCAAGGCAACTGAAAGCAAGCCGGCGCAGTTTGGTGCACGAGTGTGTTTCTCCAGCCTTCCATTATCGCTGCCCACATAATTTAATATTAACATTTTTAATACGCTTTAGAATGCAGAGTCAAGCCACCGTACGTGGCGCTTCGATATATGCAAATCCTTTTTGTGTGCGACTCTTGACATTTTCATATGAGGGATTATGCGAAGCCTTTTCTGTGCCTCTAATGTATGCTAATCTTTGTTTCTTTCAAAATGCTTTTCAAGCCTTCATAAAGCCATGATCCCTCCTGTGCTGGAATCCTACACCTCTGCAGTTCTTCTACCAGAGACAGGCTGCCTTTGAGTCCAAGGCAGACTTTTTCCATTGACTTCAGTAGGCCAGGACCCAGCCTTTTGTGCAGAACTGGATTCGCGTACATGGAGACACTGAGATTCCACGTAGGCAGCGCATTCACGACTAGATTGATCAAGGCACATTTGGAGTAGATTCAAGGTGGTTAGATGTTTAATTTAAAAACTTACGAAAACACCCCCCTGTTTTACAGCTTTATAACTATGTTTGTAACACCTTTGGTAGGCTGGTAACACATACTTCTCATGGCTGTGATATGTTTGTAGCAGCTGTTTATTGACACTTGAATTAAACAAGTGCTTGGTAAAAAGTGACTGCTACGTTTCCCAAAGGGTGTGCAGCAAATTGCATGGTGTATACGCCCTTCTTTGCACACCCCAGCTGTAATTTGTGCACCAAGACAAGGTGCATGGGTCTATATACCTCTGGGAGCTTTTCTGTGAGTAGTTTAACACACGATCTTCTACTCATTCAGAAGACACACTATATTGTAGCTTCATTGTAGCACAAGTGCAAAAGTTAGATCACACTTAGATTAATGAAGTAACATGTCCCAGAGGTAATATCACCCCTTCCTTAGAGAAGATTCAGCATGTGTAATGAATAAGTGTTTAATGCAGCCTCATGATAGCTGGTATAATTGATTATCAGACAAGACTTATCAGTTTACAAGGCAACAAGCGTGCAAAGAACTCTTTGTCCTTGTATCATGTTAGAGAGATGCTCAGCTTCCTACACAGACACATCAGAGATTACCATGGGGAACAGCCAATCTGACCCTTTGCACTTACAGGATTACACGTTACATTGCTAAACGCTACTTTTTATTTTATTTGTATGGAATACCACAACCAAACGACAGAACAAGCTATAAACATCCTATAAACAATGGCACTGAGGGATAAGGCTAGAGTGACAGTTTTAGATTTGATATCCATCGCAAGTCATCATTAGTATCCTAGTGCAGGTCTTCAGTGCAGCCATTAAAATGATAAATAGGACAGTTCTCCATGATGTTTGCTATAGTTTGAATTTTCCACACTTGTATTTAGGGTCTTTAATAAAATCCCATTTATGTAGCAGGTAGTTAGATCTACCATGTCCAGTACAAAGCGTGGTCTATGTTGTCCAGCTCCACTTTGGTAAAGCAAGGTAGGAGGTTTAGATAGGGAGTCCGTGGTAAGAAATGTATTAATGATGTCAATTGTGTTCCATTGCTGGATCCATTTTTTCTTGATGTCAAAGTTTTCACTATTCAGCTCTTTTCCTGCACTCCAAAATGACCTTCTCAACTTAAGTCTTGGCCTAGGGTGTGATTAATGTCCTCAAAAATTGGTAGTGAATTAATTGTAAGCAGTTTTTTGTAGACTCTTTGGCTAAATACGGACTGTCAAAAATCCGGAGGCTGCATCAATTCCATCTTTGCTGGTTAGTCTAACCTATGTAGACTGAACCAATAAGCAAGTGAGCAGACCTTCTGTTTTGATTCTGGGAATGCAGCCACATGACTTCCATGGCTCAGGCCACAAGCCGGGGGGTGCTAGAGCATACCTCCCTGCTCGGCTGGAGCAGACAGCTTGGACCAAGGCTAGCCCACCCACCCTGCAAGGGGGAGTTTGCTGGGGAGATGCAAAGCATCCTGGGATGCTGGGGGACTGTGAGTTAACTTGAATCTGGAGTGGATCTGGGACAGAAGTTCAATAAACTGATTTAAACTAAATCAGTTAAGTCTGATACTACATACGTCCAGGTTTATCTTAAACCAGTTTGGGCCATTTTGAAAGCAGATTATGTTCACTGAACTTCTGTTGTGTTACAACTTTAAACCGGTTTCCAATCACTTATTCCAGTTATGTGTAACTCTGTCCCTAGCCTTAAAGTAGCCTGTTTACATTGAAGATCAGGAAGAGGGATATGAGAGAGAATGGACAGCCAAGGAACAGGAGTGGATTTGCAAGTACCTGTTATGAGTCTCATTGTTTCAGTCAGTTGAGAGTTAGGCTGGTATGGGCACTCCTGCCCCAAACTGGGGCAAGATACTCAGCTGCTAAATAAATGAAGGCCAGCGCTGATGTTCTAAGCACTTCAGCATCACTTCCCCAACTTGTACCAGCCAGTTTTGAGATGATGCTACGTGTGACAAGTTTGTTCTTAGTTTTTTGTAGAAGATGCCTATAGGTGAGACTATGATCAAGGTGAACTCCTAAATATTTGGGGTTGAGTGTATAGTTGACCAGTTTTCCACAAAAGCTGTTTCTCACCTGGACAATAATAAGATTAAAAAAAGGAATAAGCTGTTTTGTCTGGGTTGGGCTGCAGATACTATTAATTAAAATAGTCTTTTAATTTTGTCAAATCATTACTGAGTGTACTTTCAATAAAGCTACTCACTATTATCTAACCTAACTGTTCTTTACTACTCATGGCATGGGGACACCTGCCAAGTGCTAAGCACTTCCCATGTACAGGAAGTCAACATCCCTTCCTAAACAGCTCTTTACAGTAGGGACTTGCACTGGGGAACAGATCATTGGGGTCCTGTCTTAAAGCAGCCGGTAGACAGGAAGGCAAAACATCTGCTTTCAAGGCGTTTAAACCATATCCTTTATTTGAATCCATTCCGTCATCCAAACTGAAACCAAAGCGTGCAGTAGAGTTCTCCTGTTTCCATTACCTTTCATTTCTCCCAATTTCTAGCTGACCCACCACCACAATTAATTTCTCTGTCTAGTCACCTAAAAGTGGATGTCACTGAATTCTCCATTTCCCAAACTGGAGAAGTCAAATCCCAAATTCTTGCAAACTGAAGATTTGAAGGAAAAGTATATTTGGATTGGGTTGGTCGAAATATTTTTTGTTTTTCTTTTGAACTTCAGTTTTTTGCTTGTTGATTATGTGGTAACTTATTTTTCTGAAAGAAAAGGTGTTTCGTGCCAAACAAATTGGTCTTTTCACTTTGAAAATGGCAAAACGTCTTATTCTAGGAGAAGAATAAGCTAAAATCAACCCTTGATCATGAACAGTTTACTTTGAAGAATCAGTGTTTTCAAGTAAAAACAAATTGAATCAATAAATTCTGGACCAGGTCCATCTGGAGGACTGTGGCCTGTAGTGAGGTTGGTAGATGAGCTTGTAGCATGGGATAGAGTTACTAACAGGTCACTTGAAACTTTCTTGCTCCCTCAGATGTCATCTAGACTAGAACATGCACAAGGGGTGGCATATCTTAATTCATGCCCTAGGACAAACCTAACAGCATGGAAAGGATTCAGCTCTGAAGAAAGTACCTGTCCAATACACATCCTTCACAGGGGAGGCCACACAGGGGACCTGCCATCCATACAAGGTTGCTTTGTACTGTTTGGTTCTCTGAGCTGAATGTGATAGGATTTTTCAAGGGGTGCAGAGTATAGCCGTGTTGGTCTCTAGGCATAGACAGACAAGGTTCTTTGGGTGAATCTGATATCTTTTATTAAACCAACTAAATGGTTGGAAAAGTAGGATTTTTGAAGGCATTTGTTAACTCATTAGACTCCATCCTCCATTATCCAACCCCCTAAGGAAAGCCGTTCCGTTTCATCACTTATCAGAATTCATTCAGGTGAGTGCAATCGGAGAATCTGGTGAGAAACCGTAGAAGAAAGTTGCATTATTCAAAAGTTTTGAGACGTTATTTAAATTTTACATGCACTCTCCTTTGCCACCTATACACGTGAATGCGCAATGGAAAGCCAAACCCAATTAAAAGGTCATGTTTTAATAATGTTACATCTATTAAATACAGTAGTATGTCATAGAGAGTGGTTTATTAGATGATGCCAACAATTACATGTCAATAAATAACTGTTTTCCGTTTGCATAATTGAGGGCTCAGCTAACCGAGATTCAGAAAGCCGAGGAGGTACCGCACTTAGCTTTTGAAACAATAAATGCTCAAACGTGATTGACGTTGCAGGGAGGCTTATGTGTCAGCTTGGAGTTTTGCTTCCATGATTTGTGTTGCAGCAACTCATATGAATCTCAGTCATGAGCCAGGACTCGACTGTGCTTAGTGCTGTAGAAACACAGAACAAAAGGGTAGCATCTGCTTCACCGGTTCACAGGTATTTGCCCCTCAGAAGACCTGCTACCTGGTCTGCCCCATTTCAGGCACGTGGGATTTCTGTGTGTAACCCAGCTTATCTGCCCAGCACTGGGTGGGGAGGTGTGGGATGGGGAGGGAAGGAATATACTTAAAGAGCTTTTGTTATAGCAGGGAGTTGGGGGAGGGAAGATTTGGATCCTGAGAAAGGGAGAGGTCAGATGACACTGGCAGACTGGGGAGACAAGCATGCTTTCTTAATTAACTGAGCTCAGCTGGGTGACCTGGCATGAAAGCTGCTTTCCAGCTGTGCCCATCTGTAGGGGCCGGCCCTACCAAGGATTTCTTTTCTGCCACTCGAGTTACCAGCAGCACGTCACTTCAGCCTGCAAGCTAACATCCAGCAGGTCTTGTTGCACTGAATCTGCAGGCAACAGCATGCAGAAACTGGACCCGGGGCTCTCGCATCCCCTCCTTTGTATCTCCACTACCCCTTAGGTAAATGCAGCACCAATGTGGCACACGCTACACAGGAGAAAGCAGGAGGACCCCTCCCTCCCCCCGTGGGCACAATGTCTGGCAGGTGAGTCCATTTCACAGCTGGGGTTGCTTTGCAGAAAGAACGGCCCCTCTAGCGGGATGTAATCTCTCCGAGCATTGCTCTTCTGTTAGGTTTTCTGTGGGCAGAGAAGGGGAGGTTGCATGGAGCAATGTGCAAGCAATAGCTGGTTTCCTGAAGTGATGTGTGGGCACGCCAACCAAGTTTGGGTAGAGATGTGCCAGTAGAGGCTGAGCCTTGGCTGTCTCTCTATCTTTTATAGCAGTTATAAGCTAAGAGAAGTTAGCTGGTGAGGTTTACTTTGGAGGGCTTTGATTAATTACCAGCTGCTAGTGGTTTTTCTACAAAAGCTGGTGTGAACTGAAGTGTGGTTAGGACCGTTTTGACTAGAATATACAAACAGCGACTTCCTCAGTTTATCGGGTCCCTTCAGGTTCAATTGATACCAGGTGTGGCTCCGGTGATTTTGCTGCGATGTGTGTTTCCCAGTCGTAATCGGTTATTTCACTGAATGCTAGCCTGGCGTAGTTAACGTGGCTCCAAGGGGGAGGCAGATTCAGTTCTGACAGTGTGGTCTAGATACTTCCCTGAACGCTGCACTGAAGTGGGGGCAGGAGGAGCGCTTAGCCTGGCAATGGGAAGGTTTGCCTCCTGCATCTTGGGATGAGTTGGTGGCACTGGCACCTATTTGCCTGATAAACTGAGCAGTTTGGGTTCCTGAGGGAGGACAAACCTGTAACCATATTGGCTTCAGTGGGCTTTGGGTCGGGTCCATGAAAACATGACATCCAGCCTGGTGCTGTATCCCCAGAAACACTGTAAATTCGCCCTATGGCAGAGATCATTTTAAGTAGGTGTTCTGATACTAAGCCTCTGTGTGCCTCGTGGATAGGCAGATGCTATAGCAGAAGACTGGAACCCACATACAAATCAGACTTGTAGCCTTTCCAGCCCAGATGAATGCTGGGATTACCTGAATGCTCTTGGTCTAGGAATGAAGCAAGTAAACAGACACTTCCTTTTGATTCTGGAAATGCAGCCACATAACTAGCGTGGCTCAGGCCACAAGCCAGTGGGCGCTAGAGCACACCTCCCTGCTTGGCTGGAGCAGACAGCTTGGGCCAAGGCTAGCCCACCCACACCCTGCGAGGGTGGAGGGAGTTGCAGGGGAGATGCAAAGCATCCTGGGATGCTGGGGGACTGTGAGTTAACTTGAACCTGGGACAGAAGTTCAATAAACTGATTTAAACTAAATCAGTTAAGTCTGATACTGCATCTATCCAGGTTTGTCTTAAATCAGTTTTTAGGTGAACTCTTGCTTGTGTAGAATGTATGCTAAAAAAAATTTTCCAACTATTTAAGTCACCTTGTCACCCCTTTGGGCTTTGCTCCTGAGTACTGTGGTCTAACTAAGAAACCACTCCTTGAAGGACAGAGCTACTGCGGCAAGTGGTGGGGAGGAAACTAATAACTGCTCTGCCGGCCCATGGAGGGAGCAGTGGTGGCTGTCAGTGCTGAGGTAGAGCTAACCAGGCACCAAACCTCTCCTGACCCTGCATCTCCAGCCCTTCCGCCGAATGCTGCTGGGGGAATTTCACTCACAAAACGACCCCATGACTTGTGTTAAAGTTTGCCATGGTAAAGCTGTATGTTCAGGCAGTGGAATAGACATGCCTCATGCAAATTCCCATTAGGGCTGCACAGGGGTGGGTGAGAAGGTCATTTAGGAAACTTGGAAATGCCAGAACTTGAGTGCTCCAGGGATCTCCTACCCAGCTGGGCACCTTGGGCCTCCCGTGGCTTCTGCACATCAGCCTCTGCACATCAATAGGTCAGATACGAGTTGATTTATGCAACCTGTTAGCCTCAGAAACGCATAGCTCTTCCACTGCACAAACTCTTTCCATTTCTCCCCATCCATTGTGATGAATGAAATGCTCCCAATTCTTGGGATACCACAAGGCCGGTGCCGAAAACACCCTGGGGATTGCTCTGCACTGGGCCAAGACCTCCAGTTCCTCCTGAGGCTCGCTGCTCTGAAAACACTTCCTTTGTTGTACAAGGCCCTTCAGGATGATGAGCTGGCATCCCCCGGGGCTACCGTGCTTTCATAAATCTCGAGCTTCCACACTGACAGCCCAGCCTGCCTGATGTGTGCGCCACAGTGTGACTGTGACAGTCAAACAGATTTGTGTATCAAGCTGCAGTAAAGAGTAGGGGCAAAAAGGCCGCAAATCATTCTCTTGTGAACTGAAAGGCAGGCTGGACTCAAGAGCGGCTCGTTCCCTTGCTGCGGGCAGGCAATACCATGGTGCCTTATCTTCTGTTTCGACAAAAAAAAGCCAGCACTGGGGAGAAAAGGTAGGAAGACTGGAGGGGGATTGTTTAGCTCTTACAAACCCAATCTTCTCTGCTTTTTAATTAAGTTGTCAACCAGAAAATAGAAAAGTTATCTGGCAGCATTGTGACAGCTTGTTCCTTTTACCAAACATGTAGGAAATGAATTGCATCCGATTTGTGTAGGTGTGCATAACGTTAGCAGTTTACAGAAAACTTCAAGGGAGATTACAGAGGCTGCAACACATCTGTGGCCCTCAAAGTCTTTGTGATTTTCTAGGATGCCCTCCATGGCTCATCAGCATGCGAGCCTGCAAGCTGGGATGTATGTCTGAGCATCTGACCCTGGAAGCTCCAATTCCTGCCACTTTAAATGAGGGAAACTGTTTGCAATATTGGTGGTCCAAGATCTGGGATGCTTAGGCCAGCAGGTCTGATTTGGAGCAGGGGGCAGTCTGGCACATGCACATAAGCCAGTTCCTTGCATTTGCCATCACCCAACATTTCCAGTGGGCAGCAATTTTTATACGGGGTTTGATTTAGCATGTGCATGTGGTATCAAAGCTTTATAGCGCTCTGCTTTCAGGGCACTGGCCGAAGGCAGCTAAGCTCAGAAAAAGGCCATGCTGTGGATATGAAGGGCATAAACAGAAGGAAAAAAGAATGTTACTGGGATTTTTTTATTTTACCCTTCAAAACTTGCTTCTGCTTTTTATTCTTTTCTCCCTGCTTAGCACATCCCACACAATGACCATAAACAGAGCAGCTTGCAAAACCCATCAGGTTTGCAGTGGAATGAGTAATGGGCTCCATCACATTCTTCTGTCTAAAAATCCTCTGCATGGCTGCAGTCCCCCAGGCTTGCACTCAGCTGTGAAATATCTGTCCCAGCTATGAATAATGCTGGGGTACTTAGCACTTCCTTAGTGTTATGCACCTCCCAGGTGTGGTACAAACATAACCACTGGTGCTTGACTTTGGGTACTCCAGGCTCTCTAAACAAATACCTGGGGCCAGATTCGTATCCACCATTTAGGCACATATGTGGACTCTATGGGCATTTGTACACGTGCACGCGCCGCAGCGCTGAGCATCTGTAGAACCATCAGCGCTGAGAAAATGGCAGCGGCACACTTTTGAACTAAAACCCATCAAAGGTGTTTTAGTTCAAAAGCGCACCACCGTGCTATTTTCTCAGTGCTGACGTGCATTTCGCCATTTATACAAATGAGTGTGACCCAGCGCTGGGCGCATCAACTGGCATGCGGAGCAGACTCGATTGATCAAGTTATAAGAGATCGGAAACCAGTTCCAATCTGTAACACAACAGCAGTTCAGTGCACATAAACCACTTTCAAAATGGCCAAAACCAGTTTAAAATCAACCTGGCTGGATATAGCATCAGACTTACTGATCTAGGTTAAATTAGCTTATTGAACTTCTGTCCCAGAATCTGTCCAGATTCAAGGTAACTCACAGTCCCCCAGCATCCCAGGATGCTTTGCAACCCCCCATGCAAACCCCACCCTCACAGGGTGGATGGGCTAGCATTGGCCCAAGCTGTCTGCTCCATCTGAGCAGGGAGGCATGCTCCCCCCCGGCTTCTGGCCTGAGCCACTGCAGGCATCAGACTGCAGTACGAGAATCTGTTCACTTGCTTATTGGTTCAGTCTGTGCAGTTTAGACTAGCCTACAGAGATTCAATCGATTCTGCTTACCATACACATCCATTGTGACATGAAATCCTACACCTTTGCTCAGCAGCACTGCTCCAGCATGCTGTTGACTGTATTTGAGCATCTCCCCATAGACCGGCAGTCATTTCTGGTGAGAAAGGGGAAAGGCCTTCCTTAGCTCTGAGACTTCTCATGGAGGACCTTGAGCAGAACAGCCTGCTCCGCAGAGAGATTCCCCTTACTCCTCCTCTGGGCTGCAGAAGGAGCTCTATACCTGCCCCGAATTAAGCCAGCATATGGCTTAATTTCTGATCACAGGCTCAAAAATACTGCAGAAGTGTAGAGCAACAGCTGTGGACTATTTGGCACAGCTGGCCACCGCTGCAGCCACCCAGTCCCTCCGCAGCACACTGAGAAGGGAGGAGCAGCCTCGGGCTGGCAGGCTGGCCCCCCGACCTTACAGAGCAAACTTACTAGAAAGCAACATTGTTTTAAAGATATTAGTAGCAAAAGTCCTTTCGCCTATAAAACAAGAAATGCTGGAAAAAAAGGCATCTAGATCATCTGGAAATAAGAGCAGAAAGAATAAAATGAAAATTCAGCTTGGAAAAAAACACAAGGTGATAAAACATGCAGGTTCCCTGGGCAGCATAGAGGTCTGCGGTGCTGAATGGCTGGCGCGGAGAGCTCTGTGGGTGACTGTAGGCAACCTGTGAGCTACAGGTTTGTAATAATGTGCTAGTAAAGTATTGCAGTGCGGCACAATCAGAGTCACCACATCATGAGACAGCACAAGCATTCTGCAGGGTTCAAGTTCAACAGCAATAGTGAATGGGAAAAAATGTCCTTCTTTGGAAGAAGCTGAAAAAGAGCACAAAAAAAACCCCCCCAGTGAGGCTAGAAGGATTGATTGCTGTGGTCTCAAACATGGGCAGCTTGGCTGAGTGGTGATTAAAGGCCTCCTGGTATTTGGAAGCACCAACAAGGGTGGTGCTTAGGGTGGCAGAACAG